AATGCTAACTCATATGGCATATGTCATCGAATGCTAATTCATATCTCATATGTTATTGAATGCTAATTCATATGACATATGTCATCGAATGGTAACTCATATGGCATATTTTTCCGAATGCTAACTCATATGGCATATGTCATCGGATACTAACTCATATGGCATTAGTTATCGAATGTTAACTCATATGGCATATGTCATCAAATGCTAACTGATATGGCATAATTCGTAGATAACTAACTCATATGGCATATGTCATCGAGTGCTAATTCATATCTCATATGTTATCGAATGCTAACTCATATGGCATTAGTTATCGAATGCTAACTCATATGGCATATGTCATCGAATGCTAATTCATATCTCATATGTTATCGAATGTTAACTCATATGGCATATGTCATCAAATGCTAACTGATATGGCATAATTCGTAGATAACTAACTCATATGGCATATGTCATCGAATGCTAATTCATATCTCATATGTTATTGAATGCTAACTCATATGGCATTAGTTATCGAATGTTAACTCATATGGCATATGTCATCAAATGCTAACTGATATGGCATAATTCGTAGATAACTAACTCATATGGCATATGTCATCGAATGCTAATTCATATCTCATATGTTATCGAATGCTAACTGATATGGCATAATTCATAGATAACTAACTCATATGGCATATGTCATCGAATGCTAATTCATATCTCATATGTTATTGAATGCTAACTCATATGGCATATGTCATCGAATGGTAACTCATATGGCATATTTTTCCGAATGCTAACTCATATGGCATAATTCGTAGATAACTAACTCATATGGCATATGCCATCGAATGCTAACTCATATGACACATGTTATCGAATGCTAACTCATATGACATATGTTATCGAATGCAACTCATATGACATATGTCATCGAATGCTAACTCATATGACATATGTCATCGAATGCTAACTCATATGGCATATGTTATCGAATGCTAACTCATACGGCATATGTTATCGAATGCTACCTCATATGGCATATGTCATCAAATGCTAACTGATATGGCATAATTCGTAGATAACTAACTCATATGGCATATGTCATCGAATGCTAATTCATATCTCATATGTTATCGAATGGTAACTCATATGACATATGTCATCGAATGGTAACTCATATGGCATATTTTTCCGAATGCTAACTCATGGCATATGTTATCGAATGCTAACTCATATTGCATATGTTATCAAATGCTAGCTCATATGGCATATGTCATCGAATGCTAACTCATATGACGTATGGTATCAAATGCTTACTCATGTGGATGTTTGTTAGTTTTCTCTTACTCTTACATGTATTCTAGAAAGAAAGAAAAATTATACAGTGTGGTTCGGCGTTGTTTACGCCACTGAAGCGGTATACTATAATATTAATTTTAGTGATGTCAAATTTTATTTCAGTTTGTCCCAAACAATCAGATCAACAATGATGAAGGGAGAACATGTAGTAACCACATATTCGTATAACAGATTAAGGGCTGGGGTCATGGATTAGACAGTGGTGATTTAAGTCGTAATGTTCACAATAAATAAAATTGAAGGGAAGCAAACACAAAAAAGATTGTATTTATTCCGATTATTTTATTTCATTTTGTTTTGTGTTCAATTTATATTTCTGATCCCACAGGCTCCATGACGATCTGGCGAACTCAATATAAAATATAAACTCGATAAAATACGTTTTATATTAAATTGCATGTGTGTGCACATAGTGTGATAAATACAGCATGACTAAGACACTAATAAACTTAAAACAATAACACGGGTTATTTTGAATAAACATGAAAACATTGTCTTACCGTGCATATACAAAGAATTTTAAAACGTAAGGCGGCTTAGAGAGATGTTGTTCGTTCTACGTACACATTTGCATAAACAACTCTTACGTAATGAACGGACTCGGATGTTGTAGTTCGTAGTCTGTGAACACATGTTCTAATGACAGGAATCGTGATGCGATGCATCCTTACTGTATTAAATTGGTAGCACATGAAAATAACGAGACGAGGTTATGCTTTTATATAAGTTGTTTCACCGGCGTGCCTAATTGGTTTATTCAGAGATACAAATCTCTTCTGCAAATGATACGCTGTTTTTATGGTGATAGTAAACTTTTCATTAAGTCCGGCATTAACAACGATGTGCGTCATGGGTAATAACATGTACGACGTGACTGGCGCCATTGTCCTTGCTCAGAACTGTCTGACACAATGTTATGCGGCTGAAACTGTTTACGTTGGATATGGAAAAATAGTTGCTGATACATAAACGACACGTTACATTTCTGCGTCGACAACTGTTTGCGCCACAACACACATAGTTACCGATTGATAAGTTAATACTAATTTGATTTATCTCTCAACATTTAATTTCTGGTCTGTATAGTTTGGTATTGTGCCGATTTTCAGATTGTCAGCTTCTGCTTTGCCAGTCACGCTGAACGTGGTATGCATGTTTCTTCCGCCTTGCAAGTCACATAATTATCAGTGATTATCGAATACAATTCGAACTTGCAGTGAAGTACGACACCTTTACATGACATTTATTGACTATCGGTGCGATGAGTGTACAGGACAATTGAAATTTATATACAAATCATCGATTTAGGGAAAGAAAAACACCTGCCCGCTTCGTCAATAAATTATCTAGTCGAACTTTGTCGTTGTGATGTTTCTTTCATGTAAATTTATTAGAACGTCACGGACGACCCTCAAATAACTAATCACGCTACACATCCTTTGAAACGTTTTAAGTGGGCGGCAAGGAGTTTCATATATAACGTTTTAAATAGATTAGAGTAAAACGTTAAACAATTTGTATTTGTTCAGGCATTGTTGTACGTTTATCGGTTTGCCCTTCAATTCAACACGCGTTCTTTGTTTACGCTTGCGTTAATTTGCAATAAACAACACAACCCCCATGATGATGAAAACGAAATACACCGACATTTTGTGCACGTTAACAACAGCATTGATGCAAGAAAAAATATGCACCGCGTGAAATTATGAATGCAGTATTACGAAGACCGTACACACGCAAACGCCGTCTTGATCAGGTGAAGACAATCACGAACACGTGATAACTGATTATGCCACGTGACATGCCAGAGTACCTGTAATTTTCCTGATGAAACATCAGTGATTGGTGCCGATGGTTAAATATCGATAAATATATTAGTGTTCTTGCGCCGATTTGAATGAGTACTATGATATTGCGAAATCTTTTTAGTACAATCCATACACATGGTCACTACTGGGATACTAATATTTTTTTACATTTTCTCCTAGGAGATATATGTTGGAACCACCGACCAACAATCAAACTGGCTACAAGCATATTTAAATTGTACGGCGATTGGTTTAACTATAAATCTAATTACCTAGGCTATATAAACCACTGACCCGTGATGCCATTTTTGTGCTAGCTGCCACTCTTGCTGTTTGTAAATATAAGCAAATTGTGTGGTAATCCCAACATAACCAGCCGAATGCGGGCATTGATCGCGTTTTACCAGAAATGGTATGTGGTAAATATGGATCGGGTTACCATGGTTAGATGGGTGAAGGAACAGTTACGCGTTGCTATGGAAGATTATTTAAGAGGCAAAAACAAGTCACGTGGCTGTTTCGCTTATGTCTCTAATCAGAAATGAAAACAAAAAAATTGTAGTTTTCATAGGATATAAATTCTTTAAAGGGTGATGGTTGTCGCGCAACGCGTGTTCGAATTTCATGTAAACGAACGATGTATTTTACACCCTTGTGTACGTCGCTAAGAGTCCCAAGCGGTGCGACGACCACCGCCTTTTAAACACATCACCTTGAATTGCGATTAGGTCACGGAAATCGCCCACACGAAAGGAATTTAACTTTAGTATTCAGAGATTAAGACGCCTAATCTGTAATCTGCAGTAAAATTAGTAGTAGGTGATTTGATATTTCCAAATGAAAAATACATGTTGGTCAGTATAGTATGTGTTTTTTTGTAGAAGTGATTTCTTGTGTGTCGCATTAGCAATACAAAGTGCATGTACACAATGTTACACAATTGTAAATAAATGCAAATTGAAAAAAGCGAAATTGTTTTTGAGATTGTACTCCAGATTTCATTCATATATAAAGATTGCACACCATACATAATTTCATTTGTTTAATTGTTTTGGAAAACATCGCATAAAAACGATATATGTATATATGTTGTAAACGTATTCCGTATCTGCCATGAGTTTATGGATGGTTTCGAATTGAATTGATTTTTTAAGCTTTCAAAAAAATATCATTGCCACGTGGGTGCCACGAGCACATAATCTTTTGCGATTTTAGAAAACGAAAGGGATATATGTATTGAAACATTGCTCAGTGACACGGGATATGAATTATTTATGAAATATTAGCATATTTTATATCACTGTCAATTAGATATAGTAGTGATGAAGCCTAATTGTTGAGCACACAACTGTTCCGTATATTATAAATATAGGATTGATTAAAAAAACCTATACAATCGCAAATACTTGACAACGACTGGTAACTTCCTACAACAAACATATGTACTACTAATTAAAGAACCATTGGATTAGTAGTAACGGCGACTGCTCAACCAATAGGTACGATAGGCAGTCTCCGCTATTAAATTTACCATCACGTGAACATGTGACGTTGGCAAGCCATATAAATGTAACGTCGGCTTCATACTCGCACAGTATAAATGCCAACGCTGAACTAGACTCTCGCTAACTGTTTCTCTCTCGCGTGCGTTGGAGAGAAACAACATCACAATGCCGTGGTGCGGGCTGGACCACAGCTACGATTATGGGGATCCAAACGCAACAAACCAAACATACGAGTATTTGGATATAGCTCTACCGGTCGACTGCCAGACACTCATGATTTGCGCGTTCACTTTGAATATGCTTCTGTCGATTGTCGGCAACGTGCTGGTGCTTATTGTCCTCATCTGGAGGAAATCAACCAGATCGGATCTGAATCCATTTCTTGTGAACCTCTCCGTTGCTGATCTGATGATGGCTGTTTTCTGTATGCCGTTCACATTCCCCACGATAATGTTAGGAGAATGGGTGTTTGGACGTGTTATGTGTCCCGTGCTCATATTTATGCAGCAGGTAAGCATTTTTGATATACTATTGTAGACTAATTTTATTAGCGGAAAGTTTAGAGGAACGAATAAGGTTTTCTAATATTTTCGAGACAGCTTAAGTTTTATTGCTGTGATATATTGATATTGTAATTAAGCATCCGTTTTGGGGACCCCTGCTGACCGAGTGAAAACCGCGCTGTGTTACCTAGCTAGACGGGCTGGTGCCGCCCGTTTGCGTCTTTTCGAGTCACGCACCTAGTACGTGTTTACATTTTAATAACGTTACATCTTGTTTCGTTTATGACAGCTTAACCTTGTTCGTATTTCGCTATTTGATTGTACGCGAACCAAACTGTCCATATTTTCTAAATCGCGTTAAATAAAAGGGCCGTATAATTCTGGGCAACTGTTCATTAAGATTATAAATTGAATATGAAAATCAAAACCGATTTCTGGCTGATGTTAGATATAATAAAGTATATGGCAATTACTTAAGTATTTTATTGAGAAATTTGTATTTGTGAAATTTACGACCAAAATCCGGCTAGCTTTTAGCGCGTTGGCCAATAGTTTTCACCTTCAAGAATAATCAGTGTTTTTGATCTAATTGATCAATGTAAGATATTTAAAACGCGACTGAACGTTGTATAAGTTCAGTTAAAGACATTCTATCGATGATCAGAATAGCTTGATTCACCGTCGCGCTTTCTTCTATGAATTCAACACGGACGATTACCGACGTGACACGTAGCACGTTGTGGATTCGGATTTGTATTCATATCTGATCGTTTATATCAATCATTTTATATATGTGCATATGAGCATAGAATGTGTTAGACAGTGTATATGTTAGTATGATACGATTTATGGGGCCAAAACCTTATTATCAAAAGTATCACCTTGGAGATCTTAAGTCAAAGTGGTTGTAAAACGTGTTATTAGCGGCAATCGCGGCTTTTATGTAGCACCGTGTTGCGCAAATGCGTCTCGAAGTGAGTGTGTCTTGTTCTAAGTCCATTTACATTTATTGAACTATTTTTTTGATTACGTGACGATGCGAGCCGCAGTGTCCACGCGATCTGATATCTTACACAATCGTTCCAAAACACGCAATTTAGAATTAACAAGATACTGATGCTAAAATCTTAAAAAATTATAAATGGGAAAAAAAAACACATTTGTTAAATCACGTACTACACCGTCTGTTATAATCAATGTATTTATTAGCAAGTATTGACCTCTCATGACCCATGATCATAGTTATAATACTCTCACAATCGCCAAGATTAGTTAGATTTTTAACAAGCATGTTTTAATAAGCCTGGAGGAAATTAATCATATCGGGGGTTTCAAACAACACAATCTTAACATTACTTAACGGATTTTCACTCCCAAGATTAAGGCGGCCACGGGTGAGATTCGAGCCCATTAATTATAGATCAAAAACGTTAATAACACTAGTTTCAGTGCATTTCGATGATTCCACGAGATTTCATAGCAGTGTTATTGTGTGACATACATACTCCCATGACAATCCGAACGACCAGCGATTGCCATGACCCTGGTAACCCGGTATACCCCGGAGAAGAAAGAAGATAAAACCCACTGACCCCGGAGAAAAAGAATGATAAGAGCGGCCTACTTCGGGAAAAACGAATAATAACAACTTATGTAATTTGAGATGTTACTTTGAGTAGTTAAATTGTTTATTAAGTACACGGTAAATTATCCTGGGTGAAAGTGCCATTATTTACTGTATTCTGCAGTGACGTAAAACTAAAATACATTTATATATTTTTAAATCGATTTAAAACAAAATCCCAATCGTCTTTTAATCTTTTCATGTGTGACAATGGTAATTTATTCAACAATACTTGGTGAATGTAGTTATGCGATGGTAACAAATTTGTCCTAATTGAGTTGAGGCATATGTACAATGCAGAAAGTAATATGTTAAAACAACCTGTCAACAATCAACTCTCTCTGATTGGTCTGTCACGTGCTAGGATGAGGTAGCCAATCAGGCACAGTTTTGTAAGAGGCTTCGCATTGATTCAATGCATGCGATGTGTATTGTAAAGTGATAAACTAAATTACATACACGAGCTTCAATGATAAAACTCACATACTGTTGCTTGTAGCTGTGAGGGACTAATAGTATGTTTTGAATAAAACAGGATAATCCTAATTTATTCAACCTTACGCTAATTTGCATGAAATGCCATAGTTACCATGCCTATACTCCGGGGTATACGGGGAATTTTTCTCTGACATACGCGTAATGTACGTTACAAAACAGAGATGTAATAGCCAATGTGTGGTGTCGTGATTTGCCAAATACCTGTCTAGTTACCTATGCACGGTTTGATTCAATTTGTTAGAGGGTGATTAGCCTAAAACCATCGACCCTCTAAAAAGAAAAAATACTAGTTTTTTTGACGAGCATGTACATCGTTTCTAGGGTATGTTACTTAATTGCCGGATTCTCGCCTTAAAACCATATCGATATTGTAAATGCAACATACAATGAAACGTGATTATTTAGGTTTTAGAATTGTATACAACGTTTCTTTTGATTGTCACGAATGTTTGAGATTTTTAGTCAGATTCCACCAATCGTTGTTAACTTTTATACAATCCGGTGATGAGTCTGTTGACTCAGTCGGATGGAAAAAAAATCAATTTCAGCGATCTGTGACAGTAAAAATTGTGGTCGTTATTTTCCGTCACCTCGGTTCTAGAGAACGGATTCTCATATGTCAAACGCCTTGGCGACATTTCTTTTGGAAAAGGCTCGTTATTTCAATCAGTTTCACAGGTTCAATTTAATATCGTCTAAAAGCAGAACGTTGATTGAAGCCACCGTCAAATCAAAACAAACTCTAACTTGTATTCGACGTCTCGGCGAAAGCATATAAAGCGTCACATTTGGAAGTCTGTGACGTAAACCTCGCCCTAACATTTAACCAATCACGAACACTTAACACGGGGGTTGTCATTCTGAATGATATATGGACTTGTTATTTGGATATAGCCTTGCAACTTCTTGCTTGTTCGAGAACTGCGATATCTATACGGTTCAACTAACGCAAGGAGTGGCATCTTTTAGTACTGAGCATTATGACCATTATGACTCCGTCGGGGGCAACACTTGTTCCAACTACCGACCATCAAGTCATGTTTGAAAATGCGTTGTGTAATGCTTCGACCATTTTCAAGTGCATGTCTGCGCAATTACCAGTTTCCACTGTCACTGCCCGTCTATTTTTCAATTATCTACTTAACTTAATTTAACACTTTATTACTTATTAGACGACATTATTTTATTTTTTAACACTGACTCTCTATTTCTGAATACTCTATTTGTGTCAACTTGAAACAGTCACTAGTAAACAGATTAGTAACTAGACAGTATGCAATCAATCATACTCTGGCGAGTCTCATGAACGACTTTAAAGCGCTATAAAAGTGCCTCTTAACTCAGTATATTCAAACTCGCAATATAATGAAACTATTCTAAAAACAACACATTAATTGACGACCTTGGAAATCTCTTCAAATCATCTGGGGACTATAACCTGCCGTCGTATCAAGTACTTATATTACCTGTTACCACGCAACGTCTGTCATGACTCAAAGAAATTCGACCAAATATTGAAATTAACTATTTCGCCAGGAAAATGTGAAAGGATAAGTGAATAATTTGATATACGAAGCGGCGTTCCGAAACGATGAGTCAAAATATCGAGATCAATATCGAAAGGGGTCGATATCACAAGTGTGTTTATGTTAAATGGTTTCGTCAATCGGTTGGTTGGTTTATAGATGATTCCTCAGCAGGTTTCCTCATATTGTCATGTGCACACTGAAGTGGTACAGCAGATAACACACAGATACGCCTTGTCTTGAGCAGGAGTTCGCGGAACTCAGTCCGCACGCCATTCACCGTCTGGATATACCTGTGTGATTAATGGAATAGCTGAGTGAAATACAAAATTACAAACTAACGTTCAAGATGTGATGCGGTTGTTTACACTGGCTATCCAAGTTGCTGCCTCCGCAACTACCCATCTAAGCAAATATATATTGTCAACAGAAGTTCAAAACGATTTAACACTTTTCAAAGTCGTTTCAAATCAACTTACTAAATGTTGTAAGCAGTTTTAAAGTGAGCGTATGCAATATTATGGTAAACTATGAAAGACGACGTACTGCCTACTAGTGCGTGATAACATGGCAAATACGGGGATGTGCCCTGTTATCAAGCAATAGTTTGCGAACATGCCCGTTCGGGAAAAAGGTATCAAGCAATAATAGGGGAACATCCCTGTCCGTTCGAATTCATTATAAGGACACATAACGTAAATTACTTTGCACTACTGTACAGAAATCCAACCTTATGTCTGATGGTGTTGCACATTTGAATGGAGCGAGCGTTGTTCTGTTGTTAATTGTACAAACATAATCTGTTATTAATTATGCTCTATAACTTGATCTTCTAAACTCTTTAAGGATTACGCTTAAACAATTACTGAACAGAATATAACTCAACGAATTTACATAGCCCTGGGGTTTTGCCGTGCACTTCACATTGATATTCTATTAACGAGGTGAACAAAAAAGCACAAATGCGAAACAAAGCGAGGTAACATACAGCCACTACAAACTGAACCATGCTGATATAGAGACACAATTTCCTGTGCATAAATCTATATATTACATTACAAAAAAACCTACACCCGGGGGTAGACATTCGATCTACATTCTCGCTCATGTTTCATTTCACATTATAAATAGGACATACAGTGATCAGATGTGGCCAGTGAACAACGCGACATTAACTATGCACAATTATTTTTTCTACTAAGTACAAGTTTATTTGAAGTAGAATTTAAAAATTTAGAATGGATATTAAGTAGCTGATAATGATAATCATACGTATGTAGCTATTGTGTATATTGACTCGTGATGTCAATATAATGACCCACTCAAGTGATTGAAACTAACATGCCACTAGCAAATCAATTGACAGTAAATCACGGTGAGCAATGCTACAAATACACCCATATATATACTGAACTTATTCTTCAGAGTTCTTGCTTGCCTGTTGACGTGTGTCTGAAGTAGCTGGGCGGACACTGTATGCAGTTGCACCGAAGTATTATAATACATACCCTATTGAAGAATGCAACATTGTCACTGGATTAGACTGTTATATCGTTAGACTTTATTAAAACTAATGAAAATATATTTCATATATTTCACGTCCCTTTTTACGGTTGTAGAAACCACGATGAAATAAACATAGCTCCGTCGGGAAATGTCGCTCGATATATTTCATAGCTATCTCAATGGTGACGCTATATTTCTGTAGAATATTGGCACCACCTGCGCTCGCTGTCTGAGTCCTTTGTGAGGTCTTGCTTTCGACCAATGCAGACAACTTTTGTTCATAATAAAATGGTAATCGTGAATTCTCGTCGTCTGCTTCGCGAGAGACCGCCACTTTGAAACTTTCGTCCACGCATGCTGGGCAGGTCGTCGCCAGTCGATAGTTCGAATGTATTTCAATAAACGTTATGCAATATATTCTCATCTATTTTTTATACAGATTTCCGTCATCGTAAGTATATGTACACTAACTGCTATTGGCATTGATCGATACTTTGCTGTGATGTACCCACTTAAAGTAAGAGTAACCAAGAATAGAACAAAGATTGTGTTCATCTTCATCTGGGTGATAGCTATCTCCCTGGCGACGGTACAGACCGTATTTGTACGTGTGACCACAGCTATTTCGACGGCGAAACTATATACTTCTGCAGTGAGTGGTTGTCTGAATTCCAATTCGCCAAGGCATATGAAATATTCTTCTTGATGGCTACCTATACTATTCCGTTATGTATTCTATGCTATACATACTCATGTGTTGGCATCCGTCTCTGGGGAAGAACAATACCCGGAAACGCAGACAAGTCACGAGATCAAAGTCAAGCCAAGGCTAAAAAGAGAGTAAGTGATGTGTTTTGTAAATTAATGAATATGTGTGCATAATAACATAAATTTTATTTGATGCACAAATTACACGCATAATATATCTTAAAACCTCAGCGCTTCATACCCTTTCCAAGTTTGCTAAATAAGGAATACACAATGACGAAATACATCACGCATTCATTAGAAGAAAGAAAAAGGTTGTCATCCAAATTGTATTTCTATTGTGTTGCAGGTTATCAAGATGCTGGTGATTATCGTGGTGATGTTCGCTGTGTGCTGGCTTCCTGTGCACATATTTAGAGTGATTACCCTGTTTTACCCATGGTTGTATGACAATTTTGAGTACCAGGACACCATGCGACTGGTGAATGCGGGAATATTATGGTTCGCCATGGCGCACAGTTTTGTAAATCCGTTTATTTATGGATTTCTCAACGACAGTTTCCGGGTAAGTTACTAATATACACTTCGGCGTGACATAATTGAATAATCGCGTCGGGTTTATATTACACAAATTGTGATATAATAGTTAACGTTTGCTTAATTCATTAAACATTTTCTATCTACCTAATAAAAAATAAAACAACATTTGGTGTGTGATGAATCTAACAGCTCTCGTAACCGAATCGTGACGCGCTTTGAACATTTGGGGTCACAATATCATTACAAGTACTGTTTTATACATGTCCATTTCACTTGAAAAAAATCAATTACGTTTCTACGTTCACTTTAATGAAAATTTAAGTAATGAATGTATTTCTAATACAAGATAGAGAAATGTTAAAAATATTCCGGGAACCGAGCTTGACGTCTCAGATTTGTCTTTATTTTGTTTCTTCTACATATTTGCAGATTTATTAAATTCTGTAAATACCGATATACGTTACCTTTTTAACTGCAGAACGAGGCTGAATTTTAGACAATGATTAACGGTTATAAAATTATGCATGTAATGCATGCATGTCATGCCTGTAACCAGTTTTATACTTTATATTTATAAAATTCTTTAAATACTGATATACATCACTTTTTTGAACTGCAGAATGATTTGAAAATGCTATTACTGCGCATTACTCGTTGCATAACGCGATATCAATGGAAATCAAGCCCGAAGAGGCACCGCCGTCTGCCAAGCCAATTGAGGTTATCACGAACCAGCCATTTCTCAATTTCTTCAATATCTTTCCTGCGAAAGACACGCCAACAATCATCCCAAGAATCACCAGTTGATGACAAAGTAAAACCACTTGAGAAATTGAACAATACTGAATGTTGTAAACAGCTGGATAATATCGAACCACACATTGGATAATTAACATCCGCCCGACAATCTAACAGGCTCATTGTCCCTATCATTCAATAACCTCTATCTTAACAGTTTTCACTATTCTCAGGGCGACACCTGAAAGTCAAGGTTTACACAGTGTCTAGACAAGATCATATTTCTATGTTGAAAGATCACCAGGAAAAATATTTACGCCCATAGTACATTCGACTCAGTATTGAGTATACGTGTATTCTTTCCACGTTACCTATATGAAACACCGAGGCAAAGCTGCTCGTTCAGTTTACCTCAACAACTATATTTATGTGCACTGCGACAGTAACGTGATAACATACTTGATCGATGAAGGGAAAAAAAAGGTGTTTTAATTTGTGTAAGGTAGTCGATGATTCAAGGAACAAGACTGAATTTTAGACAATGGTTAACGATCATTAAAATGAGATTACCTAGTTTGAAAATCTTTGAGATTTAACCTTGAATCTGTTTACTGTATGCTGGTCATGCCTCCAACCAGTTTCATACTTCAGGTCAAGCGTATGACTATTTTCATGCTTCAGTTATGACGTCTCTAGGATGCAGCTGCGACTTAAGAGTAATACACTCGAATAAAGATGAATCATTCTTCGTTTTCACAATGAGTACACAACATTAAACCATCGATTCACGCGTGTTATGAAGCTGTTTTTTTCCACACGTCGTTTATTATTGTCCGATGATAGTGTAAATGGGATACAACTCTTTATTCGGATTAAGTTGCACGTGAAACAATCAAGAAGCTAGTCTCACACCCACGAGGCTGAAATGAAGATAATAAAGTACTGTATTCCAAATGGAAGTCTGTAATGCTACAACATTTAAGAAGCCAAAGTCACCAACACATTCTTTGCGTATATAGTCGGACCCGACATAAAATGCCGTGGCCGTAGTTGTACTTTTAGAGTTCTGTTCTAATTGAATATTTCACTACAAGCATATATGTTTTAAAGATTAATAAATAATATTCGTTTTTTTTCTTATCAATCAAAGAGTGCTATGCGTAATTTCGTTTTGCAT